GAGACACTGAAGAATGGATTGTTTTCCTGTCACTAAGTACTGTATAATGATTTTACCTCCTGAAGGCTAAAAAAACCATTGTTCATTCTATCTTCTTCCATATCAGTGTTTTTTCTATATCGGGGTTTTTTACTTCTGTATCAGAGCTCTTCAGAAACTTTTACCATCCTCACTGTTGTAGTTCTGGATTCTTCCCAGGTGGCTTACTTCTTCCGTGAGTGCTAAAACAGTACCCTAGCATGAGGCATTGTCAGATAATGCTTCTTTATGTATAAACCACTATGGTGATCACTTAATTTCTTGCTTATTGTTTCATGATATAATCCTTTCATCTCTGAGTAGAACCTCGGCTTTAAGAAATTATTCCTCATTCTTTGTTTGAACAGTTGATTTGGCTTGCTTAAAAGCAGTATTTTTATACATATATCTGGTGGAAGGGTGGGGGATTGTTTGGGGTTTTTTTTTATCGTACTAGCTCTCAAATTTGTCAAAAATTAATTCTAATTCTTCACTCCTGTATACTTGCAGTTCCCCCACTTAAACATAGTGGGCCTATTTGCTATTCCGTAAAGCATGTCACTAGTGATAAGTCTCAAAATCACCAGATTTAGGACAATACTCTGCAGAATCCACTTTGGAGGTCTTCCATTTTGACAGTAAACTACTGATTGTGCTTCAGATTTTTTTTATTTCTTTACTTTTTACTCTAATTCATAAGCTTTCTTATTAGAATAGCAGTTAGATGCACAAAGATGGTTTGAGTACGAATCTTTTGGGATGCTGAAGGTGAAGGATTTCTGACTGAAAAGAGCTGGTCATTACTTCCTACATCTCCAGTTTAGGGCTGAAGATGAATTTTATACGTCTAGCATCCTCCTTAGAGAATTTACTCCTTACATGTATTTTTGTGCAGTGGAAATATCTGTTGCTATGTTTTTTCCTTTTGTTTTATTTTTTGGGTTTGTTTTATTTTTTTCGCAGATGTGCACGCACACATTTTAGTTACTACCCTAAATTTTGAGATGGTATGTCAATCATTTTGAAAAAGGAAAATAATAAAAAAGTGAGAACTTTGTGAAGAGAATTATAATCTAAAATAGATTAGTATTACATTGTACCTTTTGTCCATCTGTAAGTGTGTGTTTTCTTATTCCAGCAATTCATAGCTGAGGATATCAGGATCTCACAATACACAATTGGAGTAATCCATCTACCCAAGTGGAAAATAGTCAGTATAGTGGCGTTTCAGAGTTATAACTTTGTCCAAAATGGGACAGAGAAATAACTTAATGGGATTTTTTTTTCCCTCCCTCAGCAATACTATTTAATGTGTATATATCTGCATATCTTCCACCACTGTAGCAAATAACTTTGGGACTTTGAAGGGAATACTCTTCCTTGTTTAATTTTAAGACTGTAAATAAATAATATTGAAAAAAATGTGGGTTTTTTTAAAAAACACAGTGTATTAGCAGCAAAGGAGGTCAAAGACTGCAATCCTTATTTCAGCTAGTCATCTTTTCCTTCTACTGTCCTTTTTCCTTTTTATATTGAGAAACTAAACTAGAAAAGGAAGGTTAGGGAAAAGGTTTTAAACCATCTCGATGCAGAATTCCAAAAATCTCTACTTCAGGATATCTTGGATTCTTATCAGATGCTGCTCAGTACTACAGCTCAACTGCAG